CAGGGGCATGCAGAGTAGGGCCACAAGGGAGACCTGAAGGACTGCATATAGGACAGCCCCACAGGTAGTTAGTTGAGTGAGCTCCAGTGAAGGGGAGCATGAGTGTGAGCCCCAGTGAGGGGGGCAGAGGAGTTGAGACCCCAGTAAGCCCTTAGACATTTTGAAACTGGGTTTGAGACAGAGTAATAGAAATTTGGATGCCATCTGAAAGGCATGGAACACAGTATAGGGAAGGCTGGAGCCATGTATATCACCCTATGCATTGGGGCATTAAATGGGCAGCCTTCTGTAGTACTCAATCAGTATTTGTAAACAGCAAGATGGGGCAGGTGAATGAGTGCAGACTGCCCTAGACAGGTGGGCAGGCCAGGACGGTGACCAGCCACAAGCCAGCACCCTGCCACACTGGCCTATGCAGGCCCCATCATTTTCTGTTCCCACAACTACTTGTGGCACTGATGCAACTAAGAGGCCATCACAAACTATTATGGGGTACATTTACTGTGAGCTTGCCTAATTAGCTCTGCAGTAAACAGCTCAATGTCTATATGTGCAGTCCTATTAGGACAGAGTAAACTAATTAACTCTACTGCAGGTTAGTACTTATAAATAAAAGTGTTTACCCTGCAGCAGTGTTTTTTATTTAGCAGCAATGTACGTGTAGATGCTGATGAGGCTGGCTGGGGCAGAAGGATACTTCAGTGCTGGGGCTGCCTGCCAGCTAGCCCCCCACTGGAACACCTTGCAACACTATTGCCCCAGCCAGCCTCTCCACAACATAGTGAGCTGGGTTGGAGCAGCTCTGGGCTGACAAGCTGACCCCCTGGATCCCTGCTAGCCAGGGCTGCTCTGACCCAGCCCAACATGCCACTTTCAAACACAGTGCCTATGGCCAATAAACTCTGGTGCGATCTGTGCCAGAGTATATTGCTGCACATTAACTGCACTTGTAGATGTGCCCAGGAACAAATTTTTATCATCACATTTTCCCCAATTATGACATTTAAGCTACTGACACTTCATTATATCATTTAAACCCAGCAGCTCTAGCCAGGATTTTTCCAGTCCCACTTTTGTGAGAATTGACTTTCTTCAAGTTAACATACAGAAATCCTATAACTTGCATTTTATCAGCAAAAGAGTCAATATTGTTATGAAAATAAACCCTGTGCAACTATGCATTAGTCTTATGTTATCCTGATATTTTAATTTTTAATATATCTATTTTGGAATTTTATTCTTTCACCCATCACCATAATATCTGAAAACATTCCAAGGAAAATCAATAGTAATAGAAAAGTCTTTAGTGGTCTTAATAGAATATCTGTCTATTCTTTCGTTTTGAGATAAAAATCTCTTTATAGCTTATGGCTTCTGCTTGTTTCTCTTCCTTTGGCTGATTTGATATGTTGGTTATAATAAATTAAATCCTCTAATGTCATATTTTATGTGGACAGCTCAGGCCTAATAGGGATAGATAGCAGGGAGAGAAAATAGTGTTTTTTCCCCTTTTACTTAAAAGTAAAATCCACAACCTGAGATTTTACCTAGTCCCATTTTTTCAACCCGTTAGTCTGAAGATAGGATCTGGAACACTTTTCTCCTATATAAGCAAATCAGCAGACTAGATTTCAAGCAATTTTTCTCAATTTCCAAGGTACAGATGGAGTTTGGTACCATGTTTATTTTTCCCCCGATAATAAGATGTTAATATGCTTTTTAGTTTTGCGCAGCTCAGATCACCTCCCCCTCACCCTT